ACTGAAAAGCTAACTTCATTTTGTACTTGGAATATTTTTAACTTGGTAGTGTCTTCAGTTAAAGGCCTGATGTGGCAGATCTGGTGTGTAGATACTTCAGTGCTGAGGAACTATATTGATTCTACAATAGCTGCTGACAAAGCAGAACTGAGCTAAGAGCTGAAGCAGAGCCCAGATAGGCTCCTTTTGGAAAGACTGGTTGGAGCAGTTAGGAAAGCTTTTATCTGGGCATTGCAGAAGTCTTTTGTTCTTTATATATGGGTATGTGTGCATGTAAGTATATATTTATATCTGTATGTGGATTTCTCTGTAAATGTTTTTCTTCCTGCTTAGGGTGTGTAGCCGTATCTGGATTTCCATCTTACATTTTCTCACTTAGAACCAAAGCTTTGCTGCCCACTTGCTTCAGCACATACACTGGAGAGGAATGTGTACTGTCTTATTTTCACTGCATAGATTTCAAGTCAAACAGCAAAATGCTTTAAAATTGCTTTTGCTAGCTCTTAATTATTATGTGCTCTCGTAGCCAAAACCAACAGCTGCTGCTATTACTATTTCACTGCACCCTGAAGGCACTTAGGAGAGTCAACATGATTTTTTTGCAGAGATTTGTACAGTAAGGATTATGGACATGAGGGCTGGGCTGAGATCACAGCAGGAGGATAATGGGATTTTTCATCTCTGTGTGTCTCTTGCCAGTTTAAGTTTTAAGGAAGTTTTGCACTTGATGGTGATGATTAGCTTCAAAGAATATTCTTTCCTGTATCAGTCCTGGCTAATACTGTTCCTTTATGACTTGCAGGTGCTCAGGTAGACCAGTCAGTGTTTGAAGAACTTATAAAAGAGCAGCTTCCTGAGCTGGCTGAACATATGAAGGACCTGACAGCCTTAGCTTCCATCTCGCTCTCCTGGTTCCTTACCCTCTTCCTTAGCATCATGCCCCTGGAAAGTGCTGTCAATGTTGTGGACTGCTTCTTCTTTGATGGCATCAAAGCCATTTTCCAGCTGGGCTTGGCCATACTGGAAGCCAATGCTGTGGACCTGTGTAACAGCAAGGACGATGGGCAGGCCCTGATGATCCTGAGCAGGTATGGCCCATGGCAGAGCTCCTTCCATCATTTGGGTGCTGTTGGGATCTCCACAGCACTCAGCAGACACCAGCAGGACTTTGTGCTACCTTGCTGCTTTAAACAATGCTGCTGTTGTCTGCCTCAAACAATGAGCTGGTCCATGGACAAGATGTCCTGTGAAGTTTCCTGGCCGCGCCGAGACGTGCGCGGGCTACGTCAGTGTGCAATATTTACTGCTGCTCTTCGTGCCGTCCCTGGACTGACGAGCTTCCTGCTCCAGGCTTCAAGGAGACACAAGTTTTCTTCCTCGGGCAGCATTTAGTCACTTGGCTGGCTTGCTGTTCCTCAGATGAGTAACCACAAAGGCATTTTTGACAAGCTTAGCTGCCCAAAACCCAATTTATTTCTAGGTCTGAGCCATAAGACTTGTTTGCTTATTTGAGCTGAGAAGAGCACAGTGCAGTGTGATCTGCATTCTTACATATTTCCTCCCTCCAGGTTTTTGGAGCATGTCAAAAATGAGGAAAGCCCTCTGCCACCTATTGGTAATCACCATGCATTCTTCAGTGACGACCAGGAAGCCTCTCCAGTGACTGAAATAGCAAACCTGATTCATGACTCCTATGAGGTAAAATACTGCTCTGTATCTACTGGTCAGTTAAGTTGGAATTTTAAGGAAGAAAAAGGATAAATTCAACACGTATGCTTTGAAAGTTGAGCAAGTCCAGAGGAGACCACGAAGTTGATCAGAGGACTGGAGCATCTCCCCTGTGAGGACAGGCTGAGGGAGTTGGGGCTGTGCAGCCTGGAGAAGAGAAGGTTGTGTGGTGACCTCAGAGTAATTTTTCAGTATCTGAAGGGGTTACAGGGAAGCTGGAGAACTGTTAGGAACTGCAGTGACAGGACAAGGAGCAATGGTTACAAATGGAAAGAGGGGAAATTTAGGTTAGATATTAGGAAAGGTTTTTTCCTGTTCTGGTGGTGAGACACTGTCCCAGGTTGCCCAGGGAGGCTGTGGCTGCCCCAACCCTGGCAGTGTTCACAGCCAGGTTGGATGAGCCTTGAGCAACCTGCTCTGGTGGGAGGTGTCCCTGCCCAGGGCAGAGGTGGGTGGGACTAGACAATCTTTAAGGTCCATTCCAACCCCTAAAAGTCTATGATTCTATGACTGATACACATATTTACAGATTCCTTGACTAAAGTTCTTAAATGCACAAGACTTGGTGTAGTATGAACCACTGCACTGACAGATCAGTTAGAGACTGGGTATGCTTTTTCTTCAAAGACTCAAGAACACTTTATAACTTGTATTTCCAGTAAATGAGAAGTCCAAATATCACAAAATACTATTAACAAATAATCAATTTCTGCTCCTCTCTTGCAGAAGTTTGGAGACCACTCAGTGGCACAGATAGAGCACATGCGCTACAAACACCGAATCCGTGTCCTGCAGAGCCACGAGGACACAACCAAGCAAAACGTGGTGGGTAGGATATTATTGTGACTGAGGCAGCTTAACATCACCTCTCTGGAGGAACACAGCTTTAGTTTTTAAAAGGGTCTTGAAACAAGGCAGAATCGTGACTGACTCTGGAGAAAGCTCTTTCCTGGGATTATTAACAGCACATTATTTTCTAGGGTGGTTTTAAAGTTAAGAACTTACAAACTTTCCAGCACCTTGTCTCTGACTGGCCCTAGGCAGATGCTTGGGGAAGAGTGTAAGAAGAGACAGAGCACAATGTGATGCTTCCCTGACCTCCTGTGACCTGTAGCTTAGGGACTTCCTGTCTTTGTCTGTAATAGCCCTTGAGGGATTTCTCTTTTCATGGATCTGTCCAACTGGTGAATCTAAAGAAGGGGGAAAACATTGCAAAGATTTTCAGTCCTGCAGTTTTCAGCTGTACCACATAAGTACAGTCCCTGCAGGGCTCATGGGTCTGTGTCAGTGCTGAAGGGAGAAAAGACTATCACTAACATGATTTTCTTTCTTTTTAAGCTCCGAGTTGTCATCCCAGATGTTTCGATTCTTCCCGAAGATTTAGAGGAATTGTATGACTTGTTCAAGGTTGGTCTCCCTGAAATGCAGGGGATGCACCTAGCTGAGGCTTCTGGGTTACCTTCCAGCTGCCCCTGCAGTGCTGCCCTGGACTCTGTGCCCTCTGCCTGGGCAGTGCTGTTTGGGTGGGATCTTGCAGTTTTGTCCTTTCTGGGGTTGTGCAGCTGTTAGAGGAGAGCTGCTCCCGAGTTTCCTTTGTACCCTGCTGCTTGGAAATGGTCCCTGACAAGTTAGGTTCTGGTAACTTTTCCATGCAGAATAAATTAAATCATACGTAGCTCTGCTCGCTGAGCTTGGCATTGCTTTTATGTCCTGCTCCCTTAATGCTCTTTAAAGGCAGACTCTCTTTTCCATGTGTGTGGGGGGGGAACAACCCCCACAAACTTGTGTCCTTCCTGTTTGTTCCCAATTTTCCAATAGTTTTAATTAACTTTTAGAACTAAAAGCAGTTTCTACTTCAACTCCTTTCTGTCAAGCTGATGTTTGACAAAACTTACAGTAAAGTCATTTGGACACAGGGGTGTCTAAGCTTAAACAACTAGACTTGATTTAGAGGCCCAAGCTTGTAATTATTGCCCTTAATGGACCATTTCTTTTGTGTATTGTTCATAGCCATAACTACTGAGAACATCACTCTGGAATGTTGTTGGTATTGCACAGCTTTGTTAGTCTTGCACAGCTCTGTTGCTAAGAGCAGCTGTATCCTCCCTGCATTAGTGGCTGTAAGACTATGCTGCTGGGTTTTGCTCTTCAGTGCTTCCCTCCTGCTCCTCACTGGTGGTTCTGACCTCTGTCTGGCTCACACTCCCCTTATTTCACTTCTTGGTGTGGTTCCTACTTCAGTATTTCTATTTGAAAGGCTGAGGGAATTGGCAAAGTCTGAGGGAGTTGGGCCTGTTCAGTCTCGAGAAGAGACAATTGAGAGGGATCTCATTAATGGAAGTACAGAAATGGGAAGTGCCAAGAGGATGGATCAAGCTCTTCTCACTTGTGGAAACGAATAAAACAAGAGGGAACAGCAAAAACTGATGCACAGGAAGTTCCACCTGAATATGAGAAAGAACTTTCCTGTGCAGTCACTGAGCACTGAACAGATTGCCCAGAGAGGTTGTGGATTCTCCCTCAGTGGAGATATTCCAGAACCATCTGGACACAATCCTGAGCCTTGTGCTAGAGCAGGTTGGACCAGATGACCCATTGTGGTCCCTTCCAACCTGACTGATTCTGGGATTTCCCTTGCTCCCCCATGAACAGCTCAGTTTGTCAGAACTCTTTGTTTTGCCTCTCCCTAAGGGAAGGCCAACAGGTACCATATCCAAATTGAGAGGTCTCAGAGAGAATAAATGAGCAGGTCAAGCCTGTATAATGCTTACCTGTGTTTTCTCTGACCCTCTGTACCTCTGGCTGGTTAGAGATATCATGGACCAGATGTGACTAATGGAGTTTCATTAGCCTGCAGAGAATTTATTCCAAGAATCTGCCTGGTCTCCCTTCAAATTTATTAATTATCCATTGGAAGTTGTGAGAGCAGTTGGCTGCTCTAATTAAAGATTTGCTTTTTCTCATAGGAATGGTCTTGGTATGACACCTCCTTGCACAGAGAATTCTGAGCATTTCACACACTAGTTTGCTGTGAATGCCTCATGCTCTCTGATACTGCACACTGCAATAGCATCACAGAACGATTTGGGTTGCAAGGAACCTTAAAGATCATCCCATGGGCAGAGACACCTTCCACTAGCCCAGGTTGCTCCAAGCCTCTTCCCACCTTGCTGGCCTTGAACCACTTCCAGGAATGGAGCATCCACAATTTCTCTGGGCAACCTGTTCAGTGCCTCACCATCCTCACAGGGAAGAATTTCTTCTTAATGTCTAATCTGAATCTACCCTCTTGGATTCTCTGTATCCATTAGACCAGCAATGCCCCATCTTAAGGGTCACAAAACTTCTAAGATTATTCCCTCAGTTTAATTCCCTGATTATTATGCAGTTTATAATTCCAGGATCTGAAGGGGCTCCAGGGCAGCTGCAGAGAAAGTCTTTGTTAGGAGCTGCAGGGACAGGACAAGGGGCAATGAGTGCAAATTGAAAGAGGGGAAATTTAGGTTAGAGATTAGGAAGCAGTTTTTCCCTATGAGGGTGGTGAGACACTGTCCCAGGTTGCCCTGGGAGGCTGTGGCTGCCCCAACCCTGGCAGTGTTCACAGCCAGGTTGGATGAGCCTTGAGCAACCTGCTCTGGTGGGAGGTGTCCCTGCCCAGGAGGGCATGGATGATCTCTAAGGTCCATTCCAACCCCTAAAATTCTATTATGCTCCATGTTTTTTTACTATTAACCTATGTCTCTTTTATTCTGGACACTCTTCAAGCCTTACCTTGCACTTTGTTTCCTTGCATTACTCCCCTTTGCTGGTAGTTCTAACCCCTCTCCCATTTCTCCTAGAGGGAGCATTTGATCAGGTGTTACTGGGAGGTGCCCAGCCCCGTTGCAGACAGACACGACCCCAGCAGGCCGTACGCCGAGCAGTACCGCATCGACGCCCAGCAGTTCTCCAACCTCTACAGGCTGGTGTCACCCTGGACCTGTGGGGAGCACACCCATGTCCTCGCACAAAGGACCTTCCGACTGCTGGATGAGAACATGGACAGGCTGATCGAATTCAAGGCACTTGCCAGCTGCCTAGGTGGGCAGAGCAGGGGATGGCACAGGGTGGGACACCGGTGTTAAAGTGCCATTGAACTGGCAGGGCAGGATGCAGGCAGATGGTTTTCTGGGGCTTCTAATTAGCCTAATAGAATCATAGAATTTTAGGGGTTGGAATGGACCTTACAGATCATCCAGTCCCAACCCTCTGCCCTGGGCAGGGACACCTCCCACCAGAGCAGGTTTCTCAAGGCTCATCCAACCTGGCTGTGAACACTGCCAGGGTTGGGGCAGCCACAGCCCCCCTGGGCAACCTGGGACAGTGTCTCACCACCCTTAGAGTAAAAAACATTTTTCTCACATCCAACCTAAACTTACTCCTTGTCCTGTCACTGCAGCTCCTAACACAGAGTCCCTCTGCAGCTTCCCTGTAGGCCCTTCAGGTATTGGAATGAGTGAACAGAAAATGGTTCTTCCACCAGAGGTGTTTGGGCACTCAACAGCTCCCCAGGGAACTTGCCACAGCCCCAAGGCTGACAGAGCTCCAGAGGTGTTTGGCCAATGCTCTCAGGCACAGGGTGTGATTGTCAGGGATGTCTGTGCAGGGCCAGGAGTGGGACTAGCTGATCCTCAAGGGTCCCTTTCAACTCTGGTTATTCTATGATCCTGTGACCTGTACTGAATTTTTTTGTGTTCCAAAAAGGTCAGTTTCATTTAAAAGGCAGCCTAAGGACATGATTGAATATTGTATTGAAATATTTGATTTCTCAGACAACGGTGATTTTGTTGAAAATATTGTATGAATGAAAACTGTACTCGTGTCTGCATGGAACTCTAGGAAATCTCTCTGCCGGATTGCTGCTCTCAGGATACCTTTGAAATCTCACTGTACCTCTTTGTAACCACTTCTTGAAGACTTACACAGCTGACTGCTGCTGGCCTTACATGATGTTGACAGGCAGCAGAGCTAAGCCAATCTGGCCAGCAGGGACTGAGGACTGTGCTAGGGTTGGTCTGGAGGCCACCAGTGGTCCCAGCAGGATGAGGCTGCCTGCCCCAAAGTCTGGCTGAAGAGAAAGTGAGAAAAGTGAATCAAGTGGAAAAAAAATGAATCAACATTCAAAAATTCAGTATAAATCTGTGAATTTGTGTTCTTGCCACTTACTTTAGATTTTTAGATGTTTTTTTCTGTGTGAACCTTAAGGCACCAAATCAAATTGTTATTTGATTTTGATTCTTAGAGGGATACGACTTTCAATTATTCTTCACAATATTTCAGTGTGTTTGAAAGTTGAGAATCTCATTTCTACTAGTTATTACATGGGAAGTAGTTACCTCCTTTGGGCTTACTCTGTAGAACAGAAGGGCTGAAGGGGAGAGATGTTAGGAATATGATGGCCCCAGATGGAGGTTTCTGTCTCTCCCCTCTCACATTCCTGGTAACATCCTTTGCTAGATTCCCTGCCATCCTCCTTGCTATTTTGAAGCGATGCTGAAGCTCCACAGGGTTAGGTAGTCCCAGTCAATTTGACAAGAACAAAGAGCAAACCAGATGGCTGTCACCTGCTGTTCCTCACTGACAGGCACAGCTTAATACACTGCCCATATGCTTACTGTCCATGTAAACAATTGCCCTTTGTGCACGGAGAGATGCCTGGTTTATTTTAAACTGTGGAAGCAAATACTCTGGTTCACTTCCTTCTTGTTCTTTTTTTTCTTTCCTTGCAGATGTTATGTATAATGGAGAAATGAATGAAAAGATAAAGTTACTATATAAGCTGCATATCCCACCGGGTAAGAAATCTGAAAGGGTACGAATAACTTGGTTTCCAAACAAAAAAAAAAAAAACATTCTGGGGAAAAAACTGCTGAATGAAGAATCTTATCTTGCTTCCTTCAATTAGGAGCACATAGGGTATGCATTTATAGAATCAAAGAGTCATCAACGTTGGAGGAGACCTCGAAGATCATCGAGTCCAACCATTAACCTGTCACTGCTGGAACCA